ATGTATGTCTATGTCTGTCTGTCTGCATGTATGTCTATGTCTGTCTGTCTGTCTGCATGTATGTCTGTCTGTAGGCATGCATGTATGTCTATGTATGTCTGTCTGTGTGTGTATGTATGTATGTATGCATGTATGTCTATGTATGTCTGTCTGTGTCTGTATGTATGTATGTATGTGTATGTCTGTATGTCTGTCGGCATGCATGTATGTCTATGTATGTCTGTCTGTGTATGTATATCTGTCTCTGTATGTATGTCTGTCTGTATGCATGTATGTCTATGTATGTCTGTCTGCATGCATGTCTGTGTGTGTGTGTCTGTATGTATGTGTATGTCTGTCTGTCGGCATGCATGTCTGTCTGTGTATGTATGTCTAAGTATGTATGTCTGTATGTATGTCTGACTATATGCATGCATGCATGTATGTATGTATGTATGTCTGTGTGCATGCATGTATGTCTATGGATGTATGTATGCATGTATGTCTGTATGTCTGTCTATGTATATATATATATGTCTGTATGTCAGTATGAATGTATGCCTGCATATTATTATGAACGTGTGTATGTGTGTATGGATGTCTGTATGCATGTATGTCTGTCAGTATGTCTGTATATATGCATGTATGTCAGTCTGAATGTATGTATGTATGTCTGTATGCCATTATGAATGTATGTCTGTTTATGTCTGTATGCCATTATGAATGTATGTGTGTATGGATGACAGTGTCTGTATGTCTGTCAGTATGTCTGTGTGTGTGTATGTATGTCTGTCTGTGTCTGTATGTATGTATGTATGTATGTGTATGTCTGTATGTCTGTCGGCATGCATGTATGTCTATGTATGTCTGTCTGTGTATGTATATCTGTCTCTGTATGTATGTCTGTCTGTATGCATGTATGTCTATGTATGTCTGTCTGCATGCATGTCTGTGTGTGTGTCTGTATGTATGTGTATGTCTGTATGTCTGTCTGTCGGCATGCATGTCTGTCTGTGTATGTATGTCTGTCTGTATGTATGTCTAAGTATGTATGTCTGTATGTATGTCTGACTATATGCATGCATGTATGTATGTATGTGTATGTCTGTGTGCATGCATGTATGTCTATGGATGTATGTATGCATGTATGTCTGTCTGTCTGTATGTCTGTCTATGTGTATATATATATATATATGTCTGTATGTCATTATATATGTATGTCTGTATGTCCGTATGAATGTATGCCTGCATATCATTATGAACGTGTGTATGTGTGTATGGATGTCTGTATGCATGTATGTCTGTCAGTATGTCTGTATATATGCATGTATGTCAGTCTGAATGTATGTATGTCTGTATGCCATTATGAATGAATGTATGTCTGTATGCCATTATGAATATATGTGTGTATGGATGACAGTGTCTGTATGTCTGTCAGTATGTCTGTGTGTGTGTATGTATGTATGTCGGTGTCTGTATGTATGTATGTGTCTTTATGTCCTCATGCATGTGTGTCTGTATGTATGTTAGTATGTGTCTGTCTGTCACTATGTATGCCTGTGTGTATGTCTCAGTATGTATGCCTGTATGCGTGTAAGTCTGTTTCAGTATGCGTGTCTTTTAGTATGTATCTCTGTCTTTTTGTATCGGTGTGTGTGTGTGTTTGTGTCTGTGTGTGTATTCCTGTGGGTGGTATTTGGAGGCGGACCCAGTGGGCGGTATTTGGAGGCGGGCCCCAGGGGGCCCAGTCCCTGAGCTGAGTTAGGGGCCCCAAAATTTCTGGTGGCGGCCCTGAATGCATCTCTATAAGAAGATGCTACTTGCCACTGGCTGCAATCGGTCAGCAGTAGCTCCCCCCATGCTTCTCTTTGGAGAAACATTGGATTGATGAGAGCATCATCACTGATGATCTCAGCAAAGGATATAGAGGTGTCTGCAGTGACACTGGTGTGGCATGAGACTAAACGTGAGTTGAACTACTTTATCTTTTGATATTACAATACATGTTTGTATTTCTAACATTACAGTTTCCATGTAAGAAATTATGCAATAGAAGTGTGAAGTATGTCTGATCTGAAGGTAATTAATTGAAGAATAGGGATAAGCTGATGGTGTAATAATTGAGCCTGTATACAAGTATAGGTAGTAAATGTTATGGGAAAATTGATCTTACCTATATTAGAAGTTGTGTAGATGCAAACATCCATTTAGTTTAGTTTTCTGGGATTAAATAGTTTCTATGTTTACTTTGTTCCATGTGCAGACTCTTGTCTTTTGTTACATTGTATATGCACTTACAGAGGTACTGTCACTTCCCTTCTTAAAAGTGCCCAAAATGCAATCACTTATAGATACATACATACATATATACACACACACGCATTCACTCACTCACACTCAAAGGTCCACACAATTATAATCAGTGACTAATGCACACACAAAATTCACTGACTCACCCAGTGTGACACACACACTGACGCAAGAAGACATACACTAATTCATGTAGACTGACACACACACACACACACTGACTGATGCAGACTTACACACACTCTGACCCATGCAGACACACACACAGACCCATGCAGACACACACATGCAGACACACACAAACATTACCCAAGCAGACACACACACGCACACACAGACCCAAGCAGTTACACACTCTGACTCATGCAGACACACACACACAGACCCAAGCAGACACACACACACCCAAGCAGATACACACACCGACCCAAGCACACACAAACACACACACACTGATCTAGACACACACAAATACCCAAGCACAAACACACACACTGATCCAGACAGACACAAAGACCCAAGCACACACACACACTGACCCAAGCAGACACACACACTGACCCAAGCACACACACACTGATCCATAGACACAAACTGACCCAAGCACACACACACACTGACCCAAGCACACACACATACACATTGATCCAAGCAGAAACACACTTATCCAATCATACACACACACACTGACTGGAACAGGCTAAGAGACACACAGACACACACAGACACCGTGAAGTCCCTCACTTGCCTTTATTTCATAATGTCTCTCTGTGGGTTCCAGTCCAGGCCTGGCTACCTTCATTCTCTTTAAGCTTCACCCTCGCTGTACCTCTGCTCACTAGACTCTGAGTGCAGGGGAAGAGGCGGTCAAGAATGAAAGCATAGCTCATATTATAATAAAGATTGTATTATTATTATTATTATTATTATTTTTATTGTAAATGATTTTACAAGTTTGACCTTTTATCTTTATATGTCCACTGAAAGCAATAATTAGCACACAAGGCAAGTCTTACATACTAGTGATCACCCCAATTTACCTGCATGCTGTCTGACTTAGGTTAGGGTATATCATTCAAACAAATTAATCCATCTACCATTGTAAGTTTGTTTTTTCTTTAAGGCATTTGGTTATATTAAGAGTCTTTCCATTAGTTTATGTTTTTGATGACCACTGCAAGCTTAATATTTATATTTTTATTTACTTTACATTTGATGCCACTGCTTATGAAACTGTTATTTAAAAGGACACAATAGTCACCCAGACCACTTCATCTTATCAAAGTGGCCTGGGTGCAGTTTCCCTGTCCCTTTGGTGTTGCATTGTAAAACATACACTAGAGCTGCTTCCTGCAGTTTCACGGAGATTAACTTTTTTGGATTGATGCTGGACATCCTCATGATTTTAGGGACGGTGCAAGGATTTCTGCCGCTCTAGGCAAAGATCCATTTTGCCGCACCCTCATGTCACTCACTCACTGACACACACACAGAAACTAACTGACAGACATACACTCACTCACTGAGAGACACACACACACAGACATACACACACTCACACAGACACTCACTGACAGACATATACATACACACAGAAGTGAACCTCTGTATTTAATTTTTCAAGATTCTTTTGTTTCAGTTGTTGTACCGAAGGATTGGAGAAAGGCAGATGTTGTTCCTATATTTAAAAATTGGAAGCGCTTCAAAATCCTTGCCTGGAAATTATAGACCTGTGAGCTTAACTTCTGTAACTGGGAAAATATTTGAAGGGCTATTAAGGGATAATATTCAGGAATTCATTGGGAAGAACTTTGTTATTAGCAATAATCAGCATGGTTTTATGAAGCATAGGTCATGTCAAACTAACCTAATTGCATTCTACGAAGAAGTAAGTAGAAGTATAAATCAGGGTGTTGCAGTGGATGTGCTCTACTTGGATTTTGCCAAGGCATTTGATACGGTTCCTCACAGTAGGTTAGTCTTCAAACTAAAAGAAATT